TGAACTTGTCTGGGCCGGGTGCTGTTTGTTTCTTTACCGACGAAATGGCATGTCGGATTTCGGAAGGGAGAACGTTGGGAACGACATATCCATCCTGTGGAATTTGGTATGTCGACAAGTGGACATGGCTATCGAAGAGATTTGAGTAGAAGTCATGGATAATCTCACCATTCTACAAAGAAGTGATCATTGATGTCAAGAGAGGAGTTCGGCAGGGTGATACCATTTCACCGAAACTTTTCAGTGCCACCCTCGAGAACATCATGCGACAACTGGAATGGGAAGGAATGGGAGTGAAGATAGATGGTCGGCAACTACACCACCACCGCTTTGCTCATGACATTGTTTTAATAACACCAAACATCAGCCAAGTGGCACAAATGGTGGCCGACTTTGACCATGAGTGTGGAAAGGTAGGACTACAGCTGAATCTTACGGAGACAATGTTTATGAGAAACAGCCTCATTCCTGATGCCCCACTCGCTCTCAACGGAACGACCATCTCCAAATGCAACAGCTATGTCTACCTAGGTCGAGAAGTCAACATGACAAATGACCTGGCACCCGAGCTGCACAGGAGGAAGAGAGCGGCCTGAAACGCCTTCAAGAACATTGAAGAAATAGCTAAGACGACGAAGAACCTCCGGCTTCAGGCATATCTCTTTGATTCCACTGTTCTTCCTGCATTAACATATGCCTCAGAGACCTGGGCTCTACGCAAACAGGATGAGAACGCTATCCAGGTCTCCCAAAGAAGAATAGAAAGAACTATGCTTGGAATATCACGTTTCACTCAAATGAGAGAAAGAATCCGGAGTTCCGACATCCGTCGACAATCAAGAATCAGGGGCGCTTCCAGGATATACAAAATACTGGTTAAACTCCACAAGAAGAAAACATCCAACCCCATCCAAAAATGGGGTAATGAAATGAACAGAAACTTTCTCAAAGAAGAAATCCGAATGGCAAAAAAGCACATGAGATAATGCTCTACATCATTAATCATCAGGGAGATGCAGATCAAAACCACAATGAGATACCATCTCACACCTCAGAGACTGGCCCACATTCAAAAGAACAAAAGCAACCGATGCTGGCGTGGATGTGGCGAGAAAGGGACACTCCTTCACTGTTGGTGGGAATGTCGACTGGTTCAGCCCTTCTGGAAAACAGTATGGACGATTCTCAAAAAATTAGAAATTGAGCTTCCATTTGACCCAGCAATACCACTCCTGGGAATATATCCCAGAGAGGCAAAAATGTATAGTCGAAGTGACATCTGCACTTGTTTGTTCATTGTAGCACTCTTTACAATAGCCAGAAACTGGAAGAAACCTGAATGCCCAAGAACAGATGACTGGTTAAAGAAACTTTGGTACATCTACACAATGGAGTACTATGTAGCTGTTAGAAAAGATGAAGTCATGAAATTTACATACAAGTGGTACAATATGGAAAGTATCATGCTAAGCGAAATGAGTCAGAAAGAGAGGGATAGACATAGAAAGATTGCATTCATCTGGGGGATATAAAGTAACAAAGTATGAGAATAATACCCAAGAATAGCTGAGATCAGCACCAGGAGGATTACTCCATAACTTAGAGGCCAGCCGGGTATCCTAGAGGAAAGGGCAGTTCAGATAGAGGAGGGAGCACCAAATAAAGGGTGTTTGGAGGATCCTCCCAGGAGGGGAGATGCATGTCGAAAGTAGACTATGGACTGAACATGTTTGCCACTCAATGCCTCTTTTGCAGACCACAACACTCAAAAGGAGAGAGAGAACACAGGGGATTGCCCTGCCACAGAGACAGGAGGGGATGGGGGGATGGGGGTGGGGGGATATTATCCATGGTGGTGGAAAATGGGCACTGGTGGAGGGATGGGTATCTGATCATTGTATAATCGAAACCCAAGCACAAAAAATTGTAAATCTACAACTGTAAAAAAAAAAGAAACAAAAATAAATAAATAAATAAATAAATAAGGAAAAAAAATTAAAAAAAAAAGAATCAGGGGCGCTGTCTCATTTGCCAAGGTGTCAAAAATCAGATGGGCTGGTCATGTAATGAGATTTAAAGACGACCGCTGTACTAGAGCTGTTACCGACTGGATTCCACGGGATGTCAAAAGACCGTGTGGCCGCCCACCTACCAGATGGTCAGACTTCTTCTTCAAGATCATGAACGATCGGTTTGAGGCTCTTCATGTTCCCAGAGCCAACAGATGCCATTGGGCTACACTAGCACGCGACAGGGACAAATGGAGATGTTACTGGCGCCCGCTCGAGAGACTTGACGACTAATGGGAAGTTAAGTGATTAAGTGATTGGTGAAAATGTTCTCTGGCTCAGGCACAAGAGAAACAACATAAAGACTTTTTTTTTCCAGAACTAAGAACAAAGACCTAAGCAAGAGTATACAGGAGCTAAGGCTCTGATCCCATATGTGGCTGATGCCAATTTAATTTCTGGCTCTACTTATAGTTCCTCTGAGCACCACTAGACTCATCTCAGAGTACTTTGGGGAGTGCCCCCCACTGTGGCTGATCCATTACAGGCTCCACAGCAGACCTACAGCATTTCCCCACAGCACAGAGTGGTAGCTCTCAGCTGCCAACACTCCCTCTGTCCATTAGTTGTTCCTGTGCTGTCCTGAGCACTGAGTCCTGCAGAAGGACAGTGAGGAGGAAGGACAGAGAGAAGAGACAGGGGGAGGGGCTGGAGTGGGCCCATGCCTGATGCCCAGAGCCCTGTCATGGCCACACCCACTTCCCCACATCCTCCTGCACTGCTTCAAACAATCAGGGACCTAGAGAAGCAAAGATAAGCTGACCAGGAAGAATCCTGGATACCCCTGGTCCTTTGTGGCAAAAGTGCCAAGATCTGAAGTCAGAGTCTGGGAGCTGAGCTGTGGTTCCTGCTTAGACTCAAACTGAGGACAAAGAACAGTTTCCCGGTTATGACTTGTCCTCCCTCTTACTGTTCGAGAGGGTCTTCAAGTACCTGTCCCCTAACTTGAGGGCAAACTCAGCAGGAAACCCACTGGCAACTTCTTTCATTTCCTGCCCCTACCCTACAGGGCTCTGCCTCCCCACCCCCCAGTGGTTTCCTGTCTGCTTTTAATTCAGTGGCAGTGAACTTCCTTGCCAGGCCTGAGTGAATCTCAGCTACAGAGGAGACATCAGGGAAGAAGCTTGTGCTGTCTGCTGTGTGGAGAAGGTACTGACAGTCCAGGCTGCATTTTTCTGTGTGTGTGTGTGTGTGTGTGTGTGTGTGTGTGTGTGTGTGTGTGTGGGTCAGGGCTGGACTTTGCTTCCTTGTTCTCTTCACCTTTTGCTTTCACTTTCAAGAGACTCCACTTCTCCTCTCAGGGATGTGAGGCCCTTGAAGGACCCATAGTCAACCCTCAGGGCTCAGAGGAGGGGAGAGTTTTCTCCCCAGACCACAGAGCCCCTCAAAGGAAGTAACTGGCCTTTGATGAAAGTTCCTATGGAGATTCTCCTGTGTCCAAGAGAAGAGCCCTATGATTAGAGAGAAATTGCCTTTCTACTAACTTCAGTTGAATCCTACTTTTTCATCTCAGGACTGTGTGTTGGAGGGAAAATTTGTTGTTATGCTTTATCCTTCCTTTACTCGCCTTCCCACCAACTCTCCACTGTGGGATTGGAGCACATGCCTAGATCAAAAGCAGCTGCAGCCTTGGGAGCAGGACAGTCGAGCTCCTGACCAGGTACCCCTGTCTCTACATGTGAGGACCTCCCTGGTGGACTCAGGGAGACCAGCTGCCAGTGTAACCCACAGACTAGGCCATCCCCATTGCTCCACACCTCTCTGCATCCTAGAGCTGCCAACATTCTCTCTTCCGGTCACCCTGAACCTCGGGAGGTGACTGAGTCACCTCCTGATTCTCCAAGAGCTCTTCTAGCATCCGGACCAACCATTCTCCTGGCTGCTCTTTGAATTCTTGTTCCCTCAGGTCAGAAAGGGTGACCTGAAAGGAGACATTGTCCCTCTCGTTGCATTGATTTCCTTTTAACTGGTATCAGTTCTCTGTCCATGGGTCAGAGAAGCTGATGATAAGGACACACAGCTTCTTCAGTGTGTCTGTTGACCTTATTATCATTAAGGGCCTTGTCTTTGAACCCATAGCTTTTATCATTATTTACAGTGAAAGTAAGTAGTAAGAACTGCGAATTAATGATCCAGTGCAGACATGATTTTTCTTGAGGAATCCTACACATTCCACCTTATTGTAATACCAGTTACAAGGAAATCAACGAGTAGTGATGAGGTACTGTTTCAAAGAATGAGAGTCTCACCATTCCTCCATGAATTTCTCTTCTTTGCTCCAACCTTTTCGAGGAAGTCTGTCCTTTTCTCAATTTTCCTGAGACCCATGTCCAAAATATTTCTAGAAATGAAATAGAATCTTTTATCTGGTCTCGTTTCATCATAGACTCAGGAAAATAATAAACAACTGATATGAAATAATAGCAGTTAGGTTGAAGGAACTAAGCATTAAATTTATTTTATTTTAATTCTACTAAGGGCTGGAGCAACAGCACAGTGGGTGGGGTGTTTGCCTTGCTTGTGGTTGACACAGGTTCCCTCTCGAGAGCGCAGCAAGCTTCCTAGAATAATCCACCCACACGGCAGAGCCTGGCAAGCTCCCCATGGCATATTCGATATGCCAAAAACAGTAACAAGTCTCACAATGGAGACATTACTGGTGCGTGCATGAGCAAATCGATGCACAACAAGATGACAGTGCTACAGTGCTTAATTATACTAAGTTTAAGGGACCAAGTGTGATTACGAGCATAGTCATTGTCAACTCCATAAAACGAAACTTCTCAATCCTAATCCATATCTCTTGCAGAGAGATTTCAAGCTCAGGGGAGGCCCAGAAACTCTAGTGGAGTGCATTTCTCAGACACTAGAAATTTCTGACTGCTTCATCCCTGCCTCTTGATCCAATATTGCAGCATTTCCAGGAAAGCCATGGCCTCAGCTACATTTATCAAGAAGTTGAGGGAGGAAGCTACCTGCCCCATCTGCCTGGAGCTGATGACTGAGCCCGTGAGCATCGACTGTGGGCACAGCTACTGCCGCGTGTGCATAGTGGTTCTTACTGAGAATCAAAGCTCTGAAACATCATCTCCGGGGACATTTAATTGTCCCAAGTGTTGGAATCCTTTTCAAAGTGGTAGTCTCCGGCCCAACAAGCAGCTGAGAGAAATGATTGAAACCTTTAAGGAAATGATTGAGAACATGTGTAATGAACATGGAGAGCAGCTCCATCAGTTCTGTGAAGATGATGGTCAGCTCCTCTGCTGGTGCTGTGAGCGGTCACCACAGCACAAAGGACACGTCACTGCTCTTGTTGAAGTTGCATGCCAAAATTATAGGGTGAGTGTGGGGTCAGAAAGCCTCCTAATAACCTCATCTGCAGTTGGTTTGAAACCTGTTTTATTTATTTGACAAAAATTATTTTCATTGTAGTATATGCTTCAGATGTGCTCTCTCACTTGCTGCAAAAGTGACTTATCACAGCATCCGCACTAAAAAAAAATGCTGAACTCCATTTGCCTCCATCCACTGATCAATTCCACCCTCTAGCTCCTCAAGACATTTTTTGGTGCCTGTTAGCAATCCTTATGTCTTTTGTAGAGTAATCTGCATTTTAGTACCAGATAGATAGTACAGAAAGAAGGCATCATCCTTTCTTACTTCAGTTCAAATCCCAGATATGTCACACGGCTCCCCAAGCACCACCAGAAGGGTGAACCAGGAGAATGCTCTGAACACTGATGAGTGGCATCTGCAACAGTAGCAAAAGAGAGTAATCTGTATTCACTTCTGTCCTTTTCAAAGTCCTTCTTGGCAATGGTACTTGGAGTATTTTATGATTTCTTTACAAATCTTGGTTATTAACATCTCGTTAGATATAGGAGTTATGATAGTTTCTCCTTGTATATAGGATGTCTTTTTGTTTCACTGACATTTTCTTTGACCTTGGAGAAGTTTCTGTTTGATTCCATATACTTTCAAGTAATTTTTGCTTGTTTTTGTTTCCCTAGTTATTGAAATCCACTCTTGAAAGTTAATGCTGAGGCCATGTTTGAATTTTTTTGTTGTACTTTACTCTTTGCATTTTAGGGCTTTCAGTATTATGTCTAAGTTTTTAGTAAATTTTCAGATAATTTATGTATATGGTGTGAGGAGCAGTCATTTTTGGGTTTTGTAAATGGATATCTAATTTCCCCAGCACTATTTGTTGAAGAGACCTTCCTCTCTCTATTATATATGCCTGTATTATCATTTATCACAAGTCACCAGATATGTATGACCTTATTTCTGGGTTCTTGATTTTATTCCATTTATGTGAGTTTATGTGACTGTGCATATTTATTTCTAATATAGTGTAATCTTAATGATCATAGCCTTATAATATTGTTTTAGTTGGGAACAAGTATTTCTTATGTATCTTTCCTCAGAACTCCTTTGGCTATTCAGGGTACTTTGTGATTCTTACACATTTTAGTTAGTTTTTTTGGTGTCTTTGACACAGCTACTATAACTTTTATAGGGATTGAATAGAATCTTTGAATTACTTTGAGTAAGGTGGCCGTTTAACAATGTTAATTTTTCCTATAGATATATAGAAATATCTTTATTTTTTTTTGTTTACCTCATCTTATTTCTTAGATCAATGTATTAATAGACCTTATACAGGTCCTTGACCTCTTTCATTATGTTTTCTCCTTGTCATCTTTTTAAAGTATTTGATTTTGTGGCCACACCTAGTCCTGCTCAGAGTTACTCCTGGATTTTCCATTCTAATTTACTCCTGATGATTCACAGGGGACCTTATAGGATACCAGACATTGATTCAGAGCAGCTGTGTACAGGGTGAGCACCCTACCAGCCCTAATTCCTTCAGGTGCAAAAGAAGTTCTTTTAAAGCTTCTCACAAAGCTGGTTTCAAAGCTATAAATTCCCTAAGCTGTTGTCTGTCCAAAAAAGCGCTTATTATTCCTTCAAATCTGTGTGATTAGCTAACTGGATAGGGAACTCTTGGGGAAATTTTCATTTCACTGAGGTTTTGTTCTATGTGCCTCCATTCTCTTCTTTCTCATAGTGACATTTAAACATCTGTTGCAAGTCTTAAGGGCTTTCGATTGTACATAAGTTGCTTTTTTTGATCTTTCTGATTTCCATATTCTGTCTTTAATTGTGATTTTTATCATTTTGAAGATAATGTCTCTTGTACTTTCCTTGTTGAGAATATTTTCACTGGGTATCATCAGGCCTCCTGGATCTCAGTGCCTGTATTCCTCAACTCTGAGAAATTCTTATCAGTGATTTCTTTACCTAATGTTTATTCATGAAATTTGCTACCCTATTCTTCAGTGCCTATGTTGGTTCATATATTGTTCTTCTTGTACTCATCCTATATTGCCCTGGTATACTGATTATTTCCTTTTTTTCTAAATTTTTTAATTTTTATTAGTGGACACCATGACTTACAAATTTTTGTGCTTGGGTTTCAATTATACAATGATCAAATACCCATCCCTCCACCAGTGCCCATTTCCCACCACCACGGATCCCAGTATCCCTCCCACCCCCATCCCCCCATCCCACCCTGTCTCTGTGGCAGGGCATTCCCTTTTGTTCTATCTATCCTTTTGGGTATTGTGGTTTGCAAAAGAGGCAGCCATGAGTGGCAGTTATGTTTGGTCTATAGTCTACTTTCAGCAAGTTTCTCCCATCCTGGGAGAATCCTCCCAACACCCTTCATTTGGTGCTCCTTTCTCTATCTGAGCTCCCTTTTCCCCTAACATGTGTGGCTGGCCTCCAAGCCATGGAGTAAAATTCCTGGTACTAATCTTGGCCATCTTGGGTGTGAGTCTCCTATTTTGTTACTTTATGTTCCCCAGATGAATGCAATCTTTCTATGTCTATCCCTCTCATTCTGAGTCATTTCACTTAACATGATACTTTCCATGTAGCACCACTTATACGTCAATTTCATGACTTCAGTCTTTTCTAACAGCTACATAGTACTCCATCGTGTAAACGTACCAAAGTTTCTTTAACGAGTCATCTGTTTTCGGGCACTCAGGTTTTTTCCCGATTCTGGCTATTTTAAAGAGTGCTGCAATGAACAAACAAGTGCAGATGTCACTTTGACTATACATTTTTGCCTCTCTGGGATATATTCCCAGGAGTGGTATTGCTGGATCAAATGGGAGCTCGATTTCTAATTTTTTGAGAATCGTCCGTACTGTTTTCCAAAAGGGTTGAACCAGTCGGCATTCCCACCAGCAGTGAAGGTGGGTCCCTTTCTCACCACATCCGCAACAGCACCTGTTGTTTTTGTTCTTGTGGATGTGGGCTAGTCTCTGTGGTGTGAAATGACATCTCATTTCCTTTTCACACTCAACAGTATTGTTTATTAGCAGTTTCCTCCATCTCATCTTGGAGCTCCTTGATCTTTTACTCAGCTACAGTAATTTGACTTTTAAGAGCTTCTGTTGAGGCTTTTTGTTTTTTTAATGTAGCTTACCATGCTCTTCATTCCTGCCATTTCTGATTGGAGGAGTTTTCTCATCTTGATTCTTAGACTCTCTCGGGCTTTGCCGAATACCTGTGCCACATATTCTTTGAGCTCATTAAACATCTTTATCAAGGTGTCACTAAAGTCACTGAGGATTTAGAAAGCTGGTTGTTGTTTTTTGTGCCTTCAAGGGTATTATTTCCACTCAGTGAACTGGGCAGGCCTTTACCATTCATTTTCTAGTGTTCTTTCTATAGTTGAGGGGTATTCTTTGTAGAAAGATACCCTGGAAGATTCTGAGTTATTAGGCTGGGGATTGCTCTCTTCTATGCCTCTCATCACTGAATGACCAGAATTATAATTATGAGCAGTGTGCGATTTGCTGTGCGTGTCTTTTGTGCAGTTGCATAGGTGGCATGTGCCCCAGAAGCTGGGTGTGAGCCTGCTAATATAGTTCAGGTCAGGTGTAGAGGCTACTGGGACCTAGCTGGAAAGGAGGATTCTGCCTCTGTTCCCAGAGTGGGTGCAGCGATGTCATCCTGAGTCTGGTTTCACCTGCAACGGTGTCAATGCAAACAAAGTTTAGGAGTTGTCTCTAATAACTTTTCTATCCTGGTTTTATTAAGCACTTTTTTTATAAAAAGAATGTTGAATCTCATCATTTGGTTCCTTCGTCTCAATTGAAATACAGTTGTATGAATCTTATCTTTTTGTTGTTGTGATATAGTGTTTTTTTTTACTTTCATATGTTTAAGAGCTAACATGTACATGATATATGATCCTAACAGTGTGCTCTATTGAATTTCCTTGGCTAAGATATTGTTGAGGATTTTAAAGTCTATGTTCAATACTGTTGATTTAGTTTTTCTTTAGGTTTACTTCTTGAATGATTTTGGTATTTGAGTACTGTTGTACTCAGGAATTGTGCATGAAGTTCATCATTTCCGTAACTTTCACTGTCACTGTCACTGTCCTCCCATTGTTCATAGATTTGCTCGAGCAGGCCAAGTAACGTCTCCTTTGGAGACTTTGTTGTTACTGTGTTTGGCATATCGAATACATCATGGGTAGCTTGCCAGGCTCTGCTGGACAGGTGAGATACTCTCGGTAGCTTGCCGGGCTCTCCGAGAGGGGCGGAGGAATCGAATTCTGGTCGACCATGTTGGCTGCTTGCAAGGGAAACGCCCTACCCGCTGTGCTATTGCTCCAGCCTTTACTTAACTTTATTGGTATAATTTCAAAGGATATTCAGATGTATTTGAATCCTTTATAAATCTCACTGGTGAAAGTTCTGGTAATGGAATTTCCTTTGGAATTAGATTTATTTTCCGTTTTTGGAGTGCAAGCGAAAAGGACCCCCTCTCAATTACACTCAAGCTAGTACTATATACATGGATCATTCTAGGCATTCAGGGTACTGTCTCACCCTTGTTGGAAAATGATGAGGTATGCAAACAAACAATTGAAGTCTGCCTGGTATCCTTCATGTGGTGGAAATGTCATTAAAGGTTGGAGATAAGCTAGGGTGTCCTATACTCAGGACTGATGACAAGGACACAGCAAACAAAGCTTGCTTGGCACCATGCCTAGGCTAGAGGATGTGTGGAAAGAAAGGTATGTAACGACACAGGTCTTAGAATTTAGGCCTTAAACCTTGATCATCATTGAGAGGATGAATCATACCTCAGAGGAGGACTGGGAATGGAATGATTTTTATTGGCTAATAAGGACAAATTTTGACGTGAGAAGATTAATCTGTCTCAAAATATATTAGAGCCATCCGTTTCTGAAGTTCACATAACATCCACAAGTAAAGGGTAAGTTCATAGTTAAAGATGCAGAGGGGTTGTTAACTATCTAGAAATAAATGCCTGTGAGTGAAGTCTGGTGAGAGATTTAAATTATCATACATTCAAAGGTACATATGATGATTGCTTTGACTCTGGTGAGAGAAAGAAGTCGGCATTTTCTGCTGTCTCTTTCCTTAGTCTAATATGGGATTGAAGAATATGTTATTTCCTTAGACAATTTACTTAAGCCAGTCCAAATAATTGATTTTTTATAACAGAAACAATGGTAAACATCTTACCAGCTTTGCAGAGTGCCACAGAGATCAACTGTGTTATTATACTGATAATTGTCCACATGCTTTCTCTCAGCATATTAGGGCTCACCAAATACTCAACATTATTGTAATTATCTGAAAGTCTTTGATTTCTGGTATGTGTTTTGAAGACTTATCCAACTGAATGAAGTAACACGCAATTTTTCCCACAGGTAAAGCTCCAGAAAGCAGTCACAAAATTGAAAAGAACAAAATCCAAATATATGCAGCTGAAGCTAGATACAACTCAGAAAATAAGTAGTTGGGAGGTGAGAATTTGAAGCTTCTTGTGGTCAAACTATATGCCATCATCTTGTGTAGGTGTAGGTTGTGCTTGGTGAAAGCACTATGAAAGTGTATTATTCAATAAATAGTCCATATTCTTAAAAGTAATGTAAAAAGCACCACTTCTCTTTACTCCTTTAGTTCTATGCATCTATTATATTTTTTCTGCAAATACTTCAACCTTGTGATAGTGATTATTTAGAATTCCCAATATCTGAGTTGAAGAAGTAGAAATATTGCAGTCTACTTGAAAGATCCTTGACAGGATTCAAATTATCAGACTTTGAAAGAAACTCCCTGTTTTAAAGCCTCAACTGCATGATTTTGATGCATGTACCACAGAGCAGCATCTGACACTCAAGCTTTCCAGCTTCAGAGACCAACTGTTTGTGGACATTTAGAAAGAGATTCATTCTGATGAGATGCAATGAACTCAGTTTAATGAGGCTTTTAATGTGGAGAACCAGAACTGCCACAGAACATACAATGTAGACAACTACAGTATGTGGGTCTCTAGTTCAGTAAATAACCAGACTCCCTATGAATGGAAACAGATTTGTTTATGAATATGTTGATATAGTGCATTAGTCTGGAATATTATTATGCAGACCAATGGGTCATTTTGCCTTTTTTTTTTGATGTTTTAGACCTCAGTCCTCATTCTTTATGTGCAAATCTCAAATATGATCTCTCAAAAGATAGCCCTTTGCTTTTATGTCTGGGATCTTGAGTGGCGTCACAATCAAAAATAAATAAATAAATAAATAAACATCTTTCATGAACACATGACTTGAAGCTAAGCCTATCTCCCACGTAAAAATAAAAAAATTACTCATTTATTAATTTCTTAAACATTGTAACACTTCCTGAAATGGGAAAGTTAAAATGGATATTAACTTTCCCATCCAGATAAAAATCTGTGTCCTATATTCATTTTTGTTCAGAAATTCTCACACATTAGGGTGCTTAGTTGAATCCAGGGTTGATATTTCTGGTATTTATGATTAGAATCTGCCAACTGGGCCTATTCCTGGTGAGACTCATGAAATTTCCAGAGTGGTCATCTTTACTCCAGCTGTGATATCTCAGCTGGAAACTTCAATAAAGTTCAAGAAGAAACTTTAGGGGTTTCTTGAACGAAAAGTTTATCTGAAACACAGGAACACATGTTTATTTCAAAATAAAAATTCATATTTATGTTTATAGCTCATATTTCATTTGCTTTGGCCAAGCTCTATTCTGACTTTATTCATACTACCTACACCAGCTTCTTGGTGTAAGAAAGAAATTTTACCAGAAAACCATATCTAAGTGTGACGACCTCATCTACCTGTGACTGTCTGCTTCCCAGGCATAACTCTAGTGCAGGAAACATGAAGAACTCTTCAGGCTACATCTCCCTAACTGAGAAACCATGCATGTGTGTGTATGTGTATGTGTATGCATGTGTGTCTGTGTGTATGCATGCATTTGTCTAAGCATAACATAAAATCACCATATTACCCTTTAGCGTGGAAAGCTCTGACAGTGTACATATGCTTGTGCAGCCATTGCCTTTATCCACCTGAAAAACTTGTTCATCATCCAAACTAAAAATCTCTTCCTATTCCTCATTGTTTCTTCCTCCTATTTTCTGGTATTAACTGTCTCTATGCATATGACTTATTTCATAAAAGTAGAGTTTTATAATATTGTCTTTCTGCTTCTGAGTTACTTGCTTTGCTCACTGCCTTACTGACTCATCCATGATGCACTATACATCAAATGATCCTTATTTATTTCTACTGAATAAGTTTCAACTGTTTCTGTGTGTGACTCATATTGGATATGAATCTATCCATTAATGAACATTTAGTCTGTACTCACTTTCTGAGCACCTTTCTTCCTTGTAGGAGAAAGTAAAGAATGAGAAAGAAAGAATCCATTCTGAATTTAAAAGACTTTACACATTCATGTACATGAAAGAGGAATTTTATATGCATAGACTAGAGAAAGAAAAAGAGCAGAAGCTGAGCAGACTGCAGGACAATGTAGCTCATCTGGACAACAAAGTAGAGGAACTAAAAAATGCCATCCTGGAACTGGACAAGAAATGTCAGGACTCAGCGAAGACTCTGCTGCAGGTGAGTCAGAGCACTTGTAGGGAACAGAGATGTCTTATTTCCATGCTACAGAGAACAGAGGGTATGAAATATTGAAGACTCATGAGGCCTACTTCCTCAGTTCAGAGTCCATCTCCCTTTAACTCACCGTGTGCCGCGTGACACCCTGTAGTTCTAGCTGAGATGAATGAACTGTTGGATTTCAATTTTCTTATTTCTGAGTAGTATTTCATTGTTGGCCGCTTGTAAGGCGAACGCCCTACCGCTGTGCTATCGCTCCAGCCCTATGTGTACCACAGTTTCTTTATCCACTATGTGTTCTTGGGATATTTGGAATGACTCTAATTCTTGGCCAATGTAAATAGTACTATAATTTCATTTTTCATTTTTTTCATTTCATCATCCTGTTATTCGTCGATTGCCTCGAGCAGGCCCCAGTAACGTCTCTTTCATCCTAGCCCTGAGATTATACTCAAGGCTATTTAGGAGAGTGAGACCCATCATTGTTACTGGTATTTGGCATATTTGGTACGCCACGGGGAGTTTGCCAGACTCTGCCCTGTGGGCAGGCTACATTCGATAGCCTGCAAGTTTGTCCAAAGTAGAAATAAGACAATAAGATGTCATAAAAAAAAAGTTTTGTTAAGATGTCGCACGGCCGCAAATGCGGCCGCGCGGTTCTGGAATCTGGATTTTATAGTCTCTGAGTCTTGGCCGCTGATGGGATTACACGGCGCCAGGGGGCCAGGTGGTGGGTGTGACCCCCGCCTACTGGAATTTGGAGGATCTGGGTGGAAGATGCTCGACTCCAATTCGAGTAGGCTTGGAGGTCTCGGCCCCGGAACCCGCGTGGCTTTGTCCCTCTGCCAGTACCTTCATGTGTGCGGAGAGTGGTCTCAGCATGGTGGTGGCTGGTCCTGGAGGTCTTCGGCTGCCGTAGCCCTGGTCGGGGCGGGGAGGAAAGCTCAACCCGCTCCCCTCCAAGGGACTCCGAGACTCAGAGACTATAAAATCCAGATCCCGGACGAGAACAGTGCAGTCTCTGCCCCCGCGCCTGGGTGTTCCTTCCCGGAGTACTATAATAAACACAGATAAAGCAAATACCTTTAAAATTAATGTAAATTAAGGTAGCTGTGCTCTTTTGAAATGATCCTCAGATCTGGAAACTCTAGATTTTATGAGAGCTCAATTCTTAAATTTGATGGTCTCCTATGATACCGTGATTCTATGTAATCTTTTCATATCAAGGCAACTGTGTGTTTATAAAAGATGCCGTTGTTTCTCTGTTTTCCCCCATTTTATATTTTCATTATCTACTGTTTCCGAGTAAGATCTCTTTGCTTTTTAAACAAGACCCTGTAGTGGGTTTAATAAATTGGTTAAATGTCAATGAATTTCTTTAGCTTAGATTTGTTTTATTTAATGCTTTCAAGAGTCAATGATGACATAAATTAGAGTATTCTTGTTGGGATGTTTGTTTCATTCAAATTGTTCCTTGTGTCAAACCATACTAATCAATAGTTTTCATTTGAATCTTTTGGTGGTTCTTTGTATACAAGTTTCATTATTATCTTGGTGCTCTTGAGATCCTATTTCTATGTTTGGATTTTATCATTTTAATTACAGCATGTCTTAGAGTTCTTTGATCTGGGTTACTTTTATTTAGAACTCCTTAGTTCTATTAGAACCATTAATATATTGGATCTGGATGTGGGAGTCAGTCCTCAGAATGGGGTAGTTATCAGCCACAATTTCTTTTCTTTTTCTATTTTTTTCAGTGATGCAAGGTAGTTTTTATTCACATTTACTGGAAAGATATGAGAGCACAGAAAGAGGATAAATCTGTTCAAGAAAGAGTATAGAAGCAAAGAATATACAGAGACAAGTGAGATATCAAAGTGTTCAAGGGAGACCATGGCCTTGATGAGCGAGAGATAGCTACAATTTCTTGAAACACTTGTTCCCCATTCTCACCTTCCTTTTCTTCTCCTTTTTTGTTTTTCTTGTTTGTTTTGGTGCCAAAATTGGCACTCAAAACCTTGATTCTGCTGCGTTCTCAGGGACCACTCCTGGTGTGCCTGGGGTCGAACCATTGTAGGTGATGTGCAAGGCAAACATCCTACCCACTCTACTATCACTCCAGCTCCATTAAGTACTCCTTGAATTTGATTGTTGTTCCATTATAATTATCCCATAAAGCTCTGATATTTTTTCATAATTTTTATTTTTTTCTTCTTCTACTTAATTGATGGTTTTCTTAATCTTATTTTCTTATTTGATTTGTTCTTTGACATCTGTCACTCAGTTGCTGGAACCTCCAAAGAACTTTTAATTTTACTTATCTAAGTTCAGATTCTCCCTGACTAATACTCTGTCTTGCTTTATTGAAGACATTTTCTATTGCTTTCCTTAATTCATTCAACCTTATAATTTTCACTTTGAAGTTCTCAACTCTGAAAATGAACAAAAATCCTCTTGGTTGCTTGGGAATTTTCTAGATGGTTGTCATCACCCATTAATTTGGATTTACTTCTTCCTCTTCTTTATTGTGTCTCCTGTGCTGTGAGAGTTCTAGTTTTGTGCATTTCGGGTAGCAAATGTAAGGCTCGAATATATTCACCATTACCACAGAGAATCTGTAAGGCTAAGTCTGTGCTGCAACCAGCCACTACCAAGACTTTGCCATACTCAACAGCACTTTCCCTTGAACTTTACAGTTTGGGTGACTTACCATGACCCCTGCTCTAAATCCTTCAGTTAAGGCACCTCTGCACATTGGAACCATAAACCATACTTCCTTATTTCTTGCACCAAATATGCTCTGTGTCAGAATCCCTGCATCAGATGCACTATGTGTGTGTGTGGGGGGGGGGGAGGTGATTTAGGAGACTGGAGGTGGAGAAATGGAGAGAATGAGGCACTCAGGAGTGTAGTATGGTCTTTGTATTCATCGCAGACAGGCAACTGAGCTGCCTTAACCACATCCCCATACTCACTGTTTTATTCCCCTGGCCCTGACAAAAACTCAGCCTCACCCTCTTCCATCCTTGGGCCACATCTCTTGAGCTCTTTACTGTTCTGAAGTTCCTCACAGGGAAACTTGGCCAGAACTATTTGCTGGTTACTGCTATGTACTTCACTGTGGATTACACATGGAATCCTTTGTTCATTTCTGTGTTTTGTTATGTTTTACACTCTGTCTGATTCACAGAGCACCTTACTCCTCCCTCTTGGCTTTACCAATGCTTAGATGTATTTTTAGCTCCCTAACAGATTTGGAGGTTATACCATACTTATGAATATAGTACAACTGTTCGTCCATCATGTAGTGTCTGCTATCAGCACCGAAGCATCTCAGTCTCAGGGACTTTGCATGGACTCAGTACTCAGAGCCTTTATGATAAGCAGTGTCCAATATGGACTCACTCTAACAAAGTCACATCATTGAAAGGAAGCAGAACACTGAGCATCCTTCTGACCACTTTTCCAATTGCCATAGGTTGATGTGTTTTCAGCACAAACTCAGTGAGGAAATCAGCAGAGAGGTTGATAAGTAGTCATGTGCATCCCCAAGGGACTCAGGATGGAATCATCTTATTAGAAATCCATTAATGTCTATGGTTAGGGGTTCAGTGGTGTGCCTAAACAGGAATGAATTTACCCTGTATGTGTGAGACCTTGGCTCCATTCCCAGCCATGGGGTCACTTTCCTTACTTTGCTGGAAGGAGTGCTTTTAGAGAACTTCCCTGCATACCAAGCTTTATGAAGGTCAGATGTTCCTGCACTCACATTTGTTCATTGTTTCTCTACAGGGTATAAAAGACACCCTGAGCAGGTGAGTGCCTATGGAAACAGTGTGGGCCGAGGAGGGGCATGGATATAGACACATGGAAGGAAGGAGCCACTGAAGAAACCTCTTTTTGCTGTTTATTCTAGGGTCTCGGCTATCAATCTAGAAACACCAGAGGATGTTTCTTTGGAACTGCATACTGTGTGCAATGTCTCTGAGCTTCACTTAAGTGTGAGAAAAAATTTAAAGCGCCACCAAGGTATGTTGATTTAAGAATCCCTTGCTAATATTTTATTTAACTCTCAGTGTAATGCAATAAAGGTAGCTGATTATTATGCAATGGGGTGCAAGTGATGTAAGGACCTTCACCCAGTAACATGTTTTACTAATACCAAAGCTGAGCTCTCTTTTTCTATAATTCTCTTTAATCATTATTTTCTATGTTTCGGTAATCTCTTATAAAACTCAAAATTTAAGGAAAGAGAAAGTTTTTGATGTTTTAAATGCTTTTCTCTAGGATCAAACCTAATCTAAGCATCACAAAGAAATCTCAATGGGCTGAGTGCATGCTTCATGTTCAGAATACAGAGGTAGTCCCATCACTGAAGCTCCCCTTCATGGCACTCTAGGACCTTCTACTGATCAGGTGGACCAGGTGGCCTGGAATGACTGGGCCCCTTCACCTGTTTGGGAGTCCCTCCCCCAAAATTCCCTAGCACCATGTGCATTTTTGCATGGATCATTTTTATTCAATTTTACAGATGTTCATAATATGATTGAAAAAGTCTTCTAATATTTAAAAGGTTTGAATTACTCTCTCAATGATTTGTCTCTAAGCTCCTTGCATTAGCATCAAAGAAAGCAATGCACATGGTACAATTTTTATAGTTTTAAAAAATATATGTATTTATTTGTGTTTAAAAAAATAAATTATGAAGTGACACCTGACTTCCTTTGCCTTTGGCTTCTCCCTGGCATTATGTTAAATGCTGACAGTGCTCAGTGAACCATATGTGGTACAGGGAATCCAACCTGGGACATCCCAGTTAGAGGCAAGCATGTTACTCACTATTGTATCTCTCTGGCACTATTTAATTTTTTTTAACTCTCTTCACATTGACACATTGGATTTTTCCCAATCATTTAGGTAATAGCAACTAAAACGCAACTCATTTTTGAGTCAGACTTATGATAAGAATTGGTTGGAGAGAATCTTTATAATTAAGAGATTATTATTTTATTTTATTTTTATTAGTGAGACCATGAGGTAGAGTTGTAGACTTACAAATTTTTGTGCTTGGGTTTCAGTTATACAATGATCGAGTACCCATCCCTCCACCAGTGCGCATTTTCCACCACCACTAATCCCAGTATCCCTCCCACTCCCATCCCCCCCCCCATCCTACCCTGCCTCTGTGGCAGGGCATTCCCTTTTGTTCTCTCTCTCCTTTTGGGTGCTGTGGTTTGCAAAAGAGGCATTGAGTGGCAATCATGTTCACTCTAGAGTCTACTATCAGCATGCATCTCCCGTCCTGGCAGGATCCTCCCAACACTCTTTATTTGGTGCTCCTGTCTCTATGTGAGCTGCCTTTTCCCCTAGCATGTGAGGCTGGCTTCCAAGCTATGGAGTAAACTTCCAGGTACTTATCTCAGCTATTCTTGGGTGTTAGTCTCCTATTTTGTTACTTTATGTTCTCTAGATGTATGTAATCTTTCTATGCCTGTCCCTCACTTTCTGACTCATTTTGCTTAGCATGATACTTTCCATGTAGTGCCACTTGTATGTAAATTTCTTGACTTCATCTTTTCTAACACCTACGTAGTATTCCACTGTGTAGATGTACCAAAGTTTCTTCAACCAGTTGTCTATTCTTGGACACTCGGTTTTTTTCCAGATTCTGGCTATTGTAGAGAGTGCTGCAATGAACAAACAAGTGCAGATGTCACTTCAACTATACTTTTTTGCATGTCTGCGGTATATTCCCAGTAGTGGCATTGCTGGGTCAAATGGGAGCTCAGTTTCTAATTTTTTGAGAATAGTCCATACTGTTTCCCGACAGGGCTGATCCCACCAGCAGTGAAGGAGGGTCCCTTTCTCACCACATCTGCTCCATTATTGGTTGAATTGGTTCTTTTGGATATGGGCCAATCTCTGTGGTGCAAGATGATATCTCATTGTGGTTTTGATCTGCATCTCCCTGATGATTAACGATGGAGAGCATTTTCTCATGTGCCTTTTTGTCATTTGGATTTCTTCTTTTGAGAAAGTTCATGTTCATTCCGTTGCCCCATTTTTTTAATGGGGTTGGATGTTTTCTTCTTGTGGAGTTCAACCAGTACTTTGTATATTCTTGACATCAATCCCTTGTCAGGTGTGTCACTGTCACTGTCACTGTCCTACCGTTGCTCATCGATTTGCTCGAGCGGGCCAAGTAACGTCTCCATTGAAGACTTTGTTGTTACTGTGTATTTAGGCGAATATCCTTTCCCCTTCTGTAGACTGTCTTTGTATTTTGGTCACTGTTTCTTATTTATAAAGATGAGAAGTAGGATAGAGAACAAGGCGTAGTCAGTCCAGAACCCAAGGCAGGAGTGAGTAGACAACCATCATTGTCCTGGGCCACAATTGGCAGGTAGAGGGTGCTGTAGGGTTGGGAAAGTGTGACTGGGGAGAGGAATGCAGAGCCTTCCAGTCAGCATGGGAGGGTCATGTGTCCTTCACACTGCTACTCAGTTGCTTTGTGCCCCAGGGCCTTCTCCTCTGTTTCCTGTTAGCTGAAATAAGCAAGGAGAGATAGGGAAGAGAGCCCACCATGTGTCTACAGCAGTCAGTTTTTCAGGTAGAGAATCAGATGGGAAAAAGACCATGGGGTAAAGACCAGCAGGGATTTGAGGAACACTGAGTTCTTCCAGCAAAGGAAGTATTTGTGCATAGTGGATTTTGGTTACCTGGGAAAAACTCCAACTCCTTGTTCTTAACTTGGTAACCCAGTGAGTGGATGACTCTTTCTAGTGGTTACAAGAGTGGATAAAATCCTACTGCTCAGAGCCATGGTACAACTGGTTTGGTGTTTGTCTTGTACCTGGCAGTCCTAGGTTCAATTACCAGGTCCCCTAAGTACCATCAGAAGTAAGTGCTGAGTTAGAACCAGGAGTCTCTCCTGAGCATTGCTGGGTGTGGCCCTCAAAAAACATAAAACAAAATATTCTATTGATACATTTAAGTTTAAAATTTTTTTTACAGTCATAGTCACGCATAACTTTATCATATATTTTCCTGTTCCTGTTTTTTTTGAAGATGATCATGTAGCTTTTATGTATATTGACCCTAGGTTTATTACATTTGGCTAATTTCTGTAAATTACTGTTATTTAACATAAGAAAGTGGAGTAAGCTCTAATACTCTTGGAGCTAAATAAGTTTTTGACCTGGGAGAATTCTAGGTCTTTAGTCACAATCTATGACATTGGTTGTCTTTTTTAACTTTTCTGATAATGAATTTGTAGTTGTTATACTCTTGTTTTTGCTTCAATATTCCATGATTCTCAAAAAGAAAATGAGTCTTGGAAATGACAGAACCCATGTAAATTCTGATGGGTTCTAATCCTAGGTTTTATAAACTAGAGATAAAGATGATGGTTATATTATTACTAAGAATTCTCAGAAACTTCTCATTAATGAGACATTTTAATAAAAACTATTATTTAGTTCACTCTGTTTTCCCCAACAGCCTCTAGTGATACACATAGAGATTACACGGATTTTCCAAACTGAAACTCAAAATGACGCTTAGATAATAGGAACAGAACTTTTGTTTGAATATAGGCTAGCTTTATTTTATGAAATACTCTAAATATTAACGCATGTTCTGAAGAACACTGACAGTGGTGGTGGGTTTGGAGTTAAGCATTGAATACCCAAATCTGTTATCCTTAGCTCAATAAACTGCAATGAATGAATCAAAAGGATTTTTTCCTTTAAGAAGCAAGTGTAGGGGGTGATACCGTGAATGCTATTTGCCTTGCAAGTCGCCAACCCAGTTTTGATCTCAGGAATCCCATCTGGTCCCCTGAGCACAGCCAGGAGTCTTTCCTGAGTACAGAACCAGGAGTAACGCCTGTCATCAAATGTGACCCAAAAAGCCAAAAAAAAAAAAAAGGAAGAAAGAAAGAAAGAGACAAAGAAAGAAAGAAGAAAGAAAGAAAGAAAGAAAGAAAGAAAGAAAGGAGGAAAGAAAGAAAGAGAATAAAAATCAATAAAAAACTGGTGGGATAGAGACAGGGATAGAGCACCCATATTTTGATTCCCCAAGCCCGCCTGGAGTGATCTCTAAGTGCAGAGCCAGGACTAAGCCCTGAGTACCACTGAACATGGCCTCCAAACAAAAAACAAACATACAAAGTAATTCTTTTGAAGCTGGAATATATTACTATGATAAAGTGCTTGACTGGCACACCACCAAATCCAAAGCATCCCAAATAGTACACTGCCGGCAATGAATCCTAAGTACATTAGTAAGCCCTGGCACTGTCTGGTGTGGCCTCCACTCCAGAAAAATAAAAAGAAAGAAAAAAGGAAGAAAATTAAAATATCAAATAAAGTCTTATATCTTTCTTTTCCCCTCTTTTTCCAGTCAATGTGTCTTCTGATCCAGATACTCTTGACCAAAAAATTTTTATTAGTGATCCTAACACATTCTCCAGCGCCGCACCCAGTCTGCTACCTGTCCCAGACCATGATGCACTGAAGATAGAAGTTATTCACACACAGATGCGGAGAACCAAATCAAACACCTGGAAATTAAACAAACCAATGTTGAACAACGAGTGGGTCAGGAAGTAAGTCAAGGAAGAAATAAAAAAAATATCTGGAAACCAATGACAATGAAGACATGAACTACCAGAATTTATGGCATAGCTAAAGCTGTGTTAAGGGGAAAGTTTATAACTCTGCAAGCATTCCTCAGGAAGAAAGTAAAGGCCCACATAAATAACTTGACTTCACAGCTCAAGACCTTAGGAAAGAACCAACAAAAGGAGCCCAAATCAGGCAGAAAGAAAGAAAGAACAAAACTTGGAGCAGAGATGGAAACCCAAAAAACAATCCAAAAGATCAATGAAACTGAGAGCTGGGTCTTTGAGAAAATATACAAGATTGATAAACCACTAGCAAGAGTCACAAAGAAAGAGATATAGAGAGAACCCTAATAAGCCGAATCAGAAATGAAAGGAGGGACATCACAACAGAAAGCAAGGTATGCAAAAGATCATCAGAGACTACTTTGAAAGTCTCTATGGCATGAAACAAGAAAACCTAGAAGAAATGGATAAATTCCTGGATTCCTATTATCTCCCAAACTTGAAACAAGAAGATCTGGAGTGCCTGAATATATCTATTAATATAAAAAAAATTGAAACTGTAATCAAAAGTATTCCCAAAACAAAAACCCAGGTCCAGTTGGATTCACTAGCAAATTTTTACAAACATTTAAAGAGTACTTATTGCCAGTTCTTCTCAAGCTTTTCCAGGAAATTGAAGAAACAGAAACTCTCCAATACAGTTTCCCTAATTGTAGGGTAACATTGCTTTGTTCTTCCACAAGAAGCTTAGCTTTCTCTGGTTACACCCATCACAGTGCTCCTGAGGCACTTCCATTGTGCTTATCTGTAAACAGTCTTCCCTATGCTCTTCTTCCCACCCAGTTAATCAGCTTTCCCCTTAATCAGACTTTGTTAATTTGTAAGATCAGTTTCCCAGAAATCTATGATTTTATATGTATGAGTGAAATATTGCCTTTCTCCTCTCCTTATGCCTTATGAACAGTTTACTTTAAAGTAATATCCTTTTTGTATAGATACAGGAAGACCGTTAACATTATGCTTTGTAATTTAGGATTTAATTGGCCTTGTATATTATTCACTCCCGGGCATCTGCTTTCTCGACTTAAGCCTCAGTTGCCCTTAGTTACTAACACCGCAAAAGCAGGGTCCAAAAGAGGGACTGAATGGACCCAGGGCAAGCGGTGAGCTACCCTGGCAGCGAAATGGGCCAGGCCAAAGTGCCACGATTCTTAACTATAAGAGTTTGATCATAGACAAATGCTGTCATGATCCAAAAATAATGATGAAACTAGGATCCTGCTAGGGGTGGGAAAGACTATC